GAGCTGCCCCAGTCCGTGCACGCATCTCCCCAGTCACCACCTAGTCTTTGTTCCCAAACCAAGTCTCCCATACTGGAAATCCACCTCTCCAGGTCTGTCTGGATTTGGCAGAGGACAGCTTGCTGTGCCCCACAGTGACCGGAGCCTCCGCTGGCAGCCTCAAAGGCCGGCAGCAGAAACCATCAGAAGTTTTGATCCCTTGTGTGTCTACAGGGTGTCTGCAAAGACCTCAGCTGGGCTGACCGCCAGGACAGGCACACACGCTACTTGGGCTTCCTCACAACATGGCATCTGGGCTGCCCTGAGACCAGGCCAGTGGCAGCCACGTCTGTTGTTGACCTAACCTCCCAATGCACAGGGCATTCCAGCACCTCTGTACCCCACTGATTGGGGCAGCAGGAAACCACCCACCTCTCTGAGAGAGGAGTGACACTCAAAGCATATGGGATTGGATCAATGAGTTGGCGTGGCCACTTTTGGTAAGTACAACCTGCCCCGGGGGTGATTCTCCAAGCACACGAAGGGGGCACTATGATGGGCATGGGCCAGGGGCGGGACAAAGCCCTCCACCATGCAGCCCAGGTTGGCAGCTCTCTCCCACCCTGCCTGGCTTTCCCCTCCCAGATCCTCCTCCCCGCCTCTTCCTGTCCTTCTGCCCTTCACCCCTAGAGGGGGCTCAGGAGCTTGTGCAATTGCTTGGTGGGAACAGCCAGGGGAAAGGCAGCAGGATTCAGGGGTCCAGGCTCCCTCTCCCAAGATCTCTGCACGACTCCAAGAAGGTCACTGACTGCTGCCAGCTCAGAGGCCGGCACTGGGCTTCCAGTTCAGCCAGGGCAGATGCGGGTGTCCGTCCTGAGCAAATGCGGGGTGAGTGGGGCACGTGCCCTGCTGTCCGCCAGCTCGTGCTTCAGCGTCTGTAGAGCGATTATCTACAGCACAATTAGAGCGTAATAAAGATGTCCCTCTGGAAGCTCAGCGCCCCGGGGACGCGGCTTCCCTCGCGGAGGTCTCTGCAGGGACTGCCTGCCGGGCTGCTCACGGGGCAACAGTCATAAGCACCACCCGGAGCCGCAGCTCCGCGTTTGAATCTTGACTCTGCAGACTACTCACCCATTGCATTGGGCCAGGTCCTTAACTGCTCTGTGCCTCAGCTTACTCATCCATAAAGTAGGAATAAACAAGAGTGCGTGCTTGACAGTCCTGCTGTGAAAATCAAACAGATGGCACATATAAGATACGGGGAGCGCCATCTAAACGCTAGCTTTGCAGGCGGGGGAATCATGGCACGATAGGCGTGTGACCTGGTGAAATGGACATCGCAGAGCCGCGGCTCGCTGCTGCACAGGGAGTTCCCCTGGTAGACAGCGTGGTTCCGTCTCCACGGAGCTTCACACCCTGGGGAAGAGAGGAGGCCAGCATCACGCACGAGTGTGGGGCAGGTGCTCAGTGGTGGTGCCGTCCCTGTCTGGGTGACTGCAGATCGGGAGAGGGAACGGAAAAGGTCGGGAGGCAAAGAACAAATGGGAACCCCAGTTCTGTGCCTCTGTGAGAGGTGGCAGCTATTGGCTGCCGGCGCCATTCTCAGGTGTTAGGTACGGTGATGACCTGGGTGATGACCTGGGTGATGACCTGGGTGATGACCTGGGTCCCTCTCCCTCCTCTCAGGCTGGGCTGGCTCAGGGTCTCCAGCCATTTCCTTACCTTACCCCATCATCGCTGAGAATACAGGAGGAGCCAGAGACTCAAGATTTCCTTAGATTATTTTCTTTAACTAACGCACTCAAACTATCCCACTGTTGTACGCTTAATCTTCAACAATGTTTTTTTAAATTTGGTAGCTATTTTTTTTTGCTGTAACTACAATATACTCCTTTTCAGAATGTCTGAATATCACATAAAAGGGGGTGACCCTAACAGCAAAAGGCACCTTCTAGACCGCTACATTCTCCTGGTGAGGGGGACATTCTAGAATCTTCCGGGGGCAGGTTTATAAACCACTCAAGTCCCTCCTCCCACACCTGAACTTACTGTCCCATTATGCATCGATGTTTGGATCCATGGGCTGCAGAGGGTGAGAAAGTGGAGAAAATCCACCTGTGCTAACGCAACAACCAGCACCCTCACAACTCACCTTCCGGTCTTTCTCCTATGTATGCTGTAGTCTCATCTGGTTGTACCTACAGTGTAGACACACTGTAGTCTCGTCTGGTTGTATCTACAGTGCAGACACGCTGTAATCTCATCTGGTTGTATCTACAGCACAGACACACAGTAGTCTCGTCTAGTTGTACCTACAGCATAGACACACTGTAGTCTCATCTGGTTGTACCTACAGCGTAGGCACACTGTGGCCTAATCTGGTTGTACCTACAGCGTAGACACCCTGTAGTCTCATCCAGTTGTACCTACAGCATAGACACGCTGTAGTCTCATCTGGTTGTACCTACAGTGCAGACACACTGTAGTCTCATCTGATTGTACCTACAGCTTAGACACGCTGTAGTCTGATCTGGTTGTACCTGCAGCGTAGACACACTGTAGTCTGATCTGGTTGTACCTGCAGCGTAGGCACACTGTAGTCTCATCTGGTTGTACCTACAGCTTAGACACGCTGTAGTCTGATCTGGTTGTACCTGCAGCGTAGACACACTGTAGTCTGATCTGGTTGTACCTGCAGCGTAGGCACACTGTAGTCTCATCTGGTTGTACCTACAGCATAGACACACTGTAGTCTCATCTGGTTGTACCTACAGTGTAGACACAATTTTGCACTTTGCCTGGTCACTTAAAATTATTATGTGGCTCATAAATATATCCACTTGGCTATAGAATATTCACAAGTATAATGTTATTGCTGCATAATACACTCTCAGGTAGATTTGGCATAATTCACTCAACCCTTGCCCTCTTGTTGTCAATTTAGGTTGTTTCTAATTGAACCTAAATTTTTTTAAAGCTTTGCATGTTAATTTTGTTTACTTATTTGAGGGGCAGAGAGAGACAGAGAGTGCCCAGCCTCTGGCTCACTTCCTCAGTGACTGGGCCGGGCTGAAGCTGGGGCTGGGACCCTACTCCAGGTCTCCCACCTGGGTGGCAGAAACCCCACTACTTGCGCCATCTCCACAGCCTCCCAGGGTCTGCATTGGCAGGAAGCTGGAGTCAGTAGCCAGAACTGGGAATCAAACCCAGGCACTCTTATGTGGACGTGGGTATCCCAGGTGGCATCTTAGCTCTAGGCCAAATGGTAGCCCCTGAATCTACTTTGTAACTAACATTTGGCTTTAGCTTTGCCAGCAGTGGAGCCAAATGCTCTAAGTGTGGTGGAAAAAGGACAGGTGAGGCGACCACCATCTCAGGTTGACCTGTTGTCCCAACCGCAGTACTAATCACTGCCTTTTCCCTCTCAAAAACCACACTCACAATCAGATAGTGAGTTATGCAATCACCAACAAAAGCCCCAGCGGCAGCTGCCTGGGGTTTCGGCTAAGCCATTCCCAAGCCGTCTCGGTGGCACCCTGGTCTGTGGCACCCTGCTTCAGGGGAGTGGGCACCATCGCCGCCACAAAAAGCCCCTGGGAGGCACACAGAGTCAGCTGGTCCTGAGACCCAGGTAGCAATGCCCGCAGGCGGGGGCTGACCCTGCACCTGGGGGTCTGAGGCTGGCCTGGCGGCACTGGCCTAGAGGCACAGGGTCCTAGCGAAGGCCTGGACCCCAGCTGGGCCTCCCTTCTGAGCACCGAAGCCCTGGGCCGAGCCTCACTGGAACCAGGCTCTTCGCCAATAAAATGGGTCGGATAACACCTGGGAAGTTAAAAATTTAAACACCGAACCCCAGCCCCTCCTCCTTCAAGGTCAGCGTTCCACCTTCGTAGGCCCACAGCTCCCTGCAGGTAAATGACCCCACGAGGACACAGTGCCACCTCCCTTTTCTGGCTATCTTGAAAAAACAAAACACAGCCAGGCGGACAGAAGCGAACTGCGAGGGCAAACGAGAGACCAGGACAAGCATGTCTTCATTCTGCTGCAGCAGGCCCCTCGTCGCCAGCCTGCGGGGTGGGGTGGGAGGAGGCAGGTGCGCGGGCACCTCCTTCTCTTTCCACACTCGCTCTCCTGCTGGACGACGCCCCCAGACCCAACCCCTGGCCCCCCGAGGCCTCATGTGAACGTCAATCCCTCATCATCGGGGAAAGTGGAAGTGATAAAAAGATACCAGAAACAAGAGGCCGCCCTGCGCGCGCGCGTCACCGCCAACCTCAAAGGGCAGCAGCCAGGGGCTCCCCGCGAACGCCGCAGCCTCGCGGCGCCCGGCTCCTTCCAGTCCTTGGGGTCGGGCCTGGCTTTTTACCTGAAATTCCACCAGACTAAAATATGAGAGTTTGCACGGGTAAAGGGAGGAGGGGGTGGGAGATGAGAACTCCCGGCCGAGGGCGACCCCTGCCCTTCCGCTGGCGGTACCCGGGGGCGTGCGTCACCGGGAGGGGTCCGCGGACCGCAGCCCCGGCTGGCGAGGGCGATCGGCGAGCGAAGGGCACCGCATTCAGCCTTCGAGCAGTCATGGCCCTGGAGAGGTCTTGCGGCGGGCTCACTTCCCGCACCCCCTCCGCAAGACGGCCCCGCAGCCAAACGCTGCCGTGCGGGTACGCTGGGTCCCAACGCGCCCCGAACGAGTCAATCAACAGCCCCCTGGGATTGTCCCAACGAGGTTAAGTGGGGTCCGGGCCCAGGACCGGGCCGCGCACAGGGGCCCAGCATCTCCAAGCCCCCGCCCCACCACTGGTGCCCGCAGGCACAGCCCGGTCTCTGCCCCGCGTGGCGTGCGGCGCCCCCGCAGCCTCGGCGCCCGGCTGGCCCGGCGCGCGCCGCTGTCTCCCCCCAGCGGCCGAGCGCGGGGCGCCGCGGGAGCCGGGCGGCGGGGGCGGCGCGGCGCAGGCCAGCTCGCGGCTCCGCCCCGCGCGCCCCCCCTCCCGGCCGGCAGGGCCGCCCCCTCCGCGCCGCGCTCGGCTCAGACGGAGCAGCCGCCTCTGCAATGTCAGCAGCTGCAGCGGCCCGGGCCCCGCGGTAGCCGCCGGAGCCGCACGGCCCGGCAGACGCGCCCCGCGCCACACCGCCGCCGCCTCGCTGCCTCCGGGCGCTGCGCGCGGCTCTGCGAGCCCCGGCGCGCCGCTCGGTCTCGGGGCCGGCTCGGCCGCGGCCGCGCACAAAGAACCGCGGACAGCGGCGCTCCCGGGGCTGCGCCGAGGGACCGGCCGGGGACCGGCCGCGCCGCACCGCGCCTCCTCCGCGCCCGTCCTGCCGGGGCGGCCAGAGCCCAAGCGGGCCCCGTCCTAGGACGGCGGCCACGCTGCAGCCGGCGAGCGCGCGTGCTGCCCGCTCCGCTGCGCCACGGCCGCCGGCGGTGGCCCTCGCCGCGCCCCGCTGAGCCGCCGCCGCCCCGCGTCCCTGCCGAGGGGAGCCCCCGGCCGGCGCCGCGCCTAACATGGCCACGCTGCTCCGCAAAATCGGGCTGATCCGCCTGCACAACCGGGACACGGAGGACCCCAAACACCCGCACCACCACCGCGGCGGCGGCGGCCAGCAGAGCGCGTCGCTGCGCTTGGGCAAGGGCGCCAAAAGCGGCGGGCACAAGCCCCCACCGCAGCCGCAGCAGCAGCCGGGGGGCGCGGGCGACGCGAGCCCCGGGCCCGGCAAGGGCCGGCGCGCGGCGGAGCCGGCCCCGCAGCCGGCGGCGGGCGCGGCGGGCGCGGCGGGCGCGGCGGGCAGCGGGGGCCCCCGGGAGCGCGCGGCGGGCGCCAGGGCGGGGCCGGGCCCCGCGGCGGCGGCGGCGGCGGCGGCGGCGGCGGCCTCGGGCGGCAGCCTGGTGCCCGCCGCGCGCCAGCAGCACTGCACGCAGGTGCGCAGCCGGCGGCTCATGAAGGAGCTGCAGGACATCGCGCGCCTCAGCGACCGCTTCATCTCCGTGGAGCTGGTGGACGAGAGCCTGTTCGACTGGAACGTGAAGCTGCACCAGGTGGACAAGGACTCGGTGCTGTGGCAGGACATGAAAGAGACCAACACCGAGTTCATCCTGCTCAACCTCACCTTCCCCGACAACTTCCCCTTCTCGCCGCCCTTCATGCGGGTGCTCAGCCCGCGCCTCGAGAACGGCTACGTGCTGGACGGCGGCGCCATCTGCATGGAGCTGCTCACGCCGCGCGGCTGGTCCAGCGCCTACACCGTGGAGGCCGTCATGCGCCAGTTCGCCGCCAGCCTGGTCAAGGGCCAGGTAAGGCCGGCGGGCCGCCCAGGGGGCCCCGGGCGCGCGAGGAGCCGGCGCCGCCGCTCCGGGGCCTTTCCCTGCCTCTCCAGCCGGAACCCAGGCGAGCGCGTCTCGCTCTGCCGGCCTCTGGGGTCCCCGGCTTGCCCCCTTCCCGGGTCCAGTTCCCTCTCCGCCTCCTCCCCAGCCTCCTTCCGTCCTATCTCCCCTCTCTCCTCGCCCTGCCCCCTCTCCCCTCTTCTCCACCCCCACACCCCCCCCACCCCGGTTTCTGCCCCTCTCCCTCTCGCCTCCACTGCCTGTCTTGCGTCCCTGGGGTCTCCGTGAAGGCGGAGACTTCCCTCCAGCCTCGGGGCCGAGGGGCGCCACTCAGTGCATCCCTCCCACCCTGGCAGGCACCCTGAGCTCTGCTTCTGGGCCGGGGTGGGCTGCAGCTGGGCGCTGTGCGCGGGGCCCCGCGCTCTCCTCTGAGGCGCACCTGTCCCTTGTCGGTGACATCTCGCTCTTGAGAACTCTCTAGAGGGTCACAGTGTGGTCTCAGTGGCAAGGCCAGACCCTGTCAAGGCGGTGCCTGTTAGCCCTCAGCGCGCACCTCCCTCTGCCTTCCAGACTAACAGGTTTCTTTTTGCCCCCATCTTCCCCTCTTCGGGGGAGTTAAATGCTTTATCGGAGCTAAAAACCCCGCCTGAGCCTTCTCGCCTACTGCACCAGGTGGCGGCACAGAAACCGGGAGCCTGTGAGGGCAGGGCATGGATGCATGGACGCTGTGGTCCCACAGGGCCCTATAAAATCTTCCCCCAGGATACCGCCTTGGCCGTGTTCACGTTCCCTGGTGTTCTAATCAGTGTTAAACGTTACTCACTTATGGGCATCTTCCAGATTTATTTCAGTGTTTTCTGTAGAAGGCCCTGAATGACCTGGGCCAGCAGAGCAGAAGGGGTTGATTCTTCCCTGCCGCCTGCTGGCGTCTCCTACACTGCAGGACGTGGCGGAGGTGGCACCCCCGGGACTCCAGACAGACAGCATCCCAACCTGGCAGAGGAGGCCTTGTCACCCGCGGTCCACCCAGCGCACTTTGCTGGGTTAGGGTTGGGTGGGTGGAACAGCCCTGGAAGACATCTCTGTCTGAGGTTGAAGCCTTGAACACCAGCGGTTCTGCCCTTGACCCTGCAGGGGCACCCTGGCTCCGACGCAAGGTGCCAGTGAGGGGTGGGTGAGGGCTCAGTCGCTTTTCTAACCAGGATTTATGCAAATGAGGAGGGAGGCTGTTGTGTGGAATGTCTTGGTTGCTTGTTTCTTAGGTCACTGCCTAAGCACTGGGTGGCACTGGCTCTTGCTTCACAGGGAAGATGAGTTTGGGGCTGGGGGCTGGGGAGGGTCACTGTGCCTGCCTGTGGAACCACAGAATCATAGCATTTTACACTTGGGGGAGACTCAGGGCGTGCGAGGGGCACAGCCTTTATTGTGAAAGGTGCAGAAATGTAAAGATTTCAAATGAGGAGCGAGGAGATTCCTTTTAAACAGAGAAACACCTTAGTACTTGCGGTGTTCTCTGTATTCGCGTTACTGCTCTGAATCCTAATAGTTCTGCGGGTGTACCTGTGCTTCTGTTCAAACAGGTCCTGGGGTTGCACACTGCTTTTCTTTGTCGTCAAAACTGAGAGTGTGACATAGAGTGTGCACGTCAGGGGCTTCGTTTATCGATTTGATAAAATCTTAATGAAACTCCCTGCCCGCTACCTTGTGTATTGTATTATAGTATCTGCCCAGTATCTGAAATGAAAATTAAAAAAAAAAAAAAAAGTAGCACTTGTTCAAATACCGGTCCAGTCCCTTTGCGTTTTCCGTGCTGGCTTCAACATGCAGCTCTCGAAAAGGAAGCCGTGCATAACGCACATGAAATATTCAACAAGCAGTGAAAGACTTGAAGCAGTGGGCAGCCATGCGCGGTCTAGGGTTCTGTGCGTGGAAGGGCGCTGGTGGTGTTGCAGGTAACCCGAGTGTGATCGTGCCTTTTTGTGTTGTTGTTCAGGGTGCACACGGCACTTATCCAATTATTTCCATAGTTAAAGGTAATATGCTTTGGGCAGGCGATCAAAATGCCTGATTAGACATTCAAAGAGAACTGGCACTGCTACCAAGCCAATAATTGCTTTGAAGGAAACAGTGGCTGTGTTGGAGCTCCGCTCCTCTGTTTATCGGGATTCCTTCGCTGAGATTCCTCTCCTTGAGCCACAAAGCTGGGAAGAGCTGGTTTGGCTCTTGCCTTACAGGGAAGCACTTACTAGCTGGTGTGGCGCTCTGAGTGGGGGGCGCAGTGGGTCTACAGCTTTAGAACACACTAGAGCGGTTTGCGGAGCTGTGTGTGTAATAGCGTGAGAAACCTGTGTGACAGCTTTGGGCACAGCCCATAAAGTTTAGGTTTGTCCCAGGGTAGGACAGATTCGGTCCCTTACTCGGGCTTGTACCAGACTGAACATCTGCCCTTGGTACCAGAATCTCTGGCGTATTATATTATGAATCGTGGTTGGTTTAAATTAATATTTAGATTTCTTGCCGAATACAGAGAGGATTAAAAATGGGCGGGGGTGGAATTAACAGACAATGTGCATGTCCATGAGCTGCTGGACGCCTCTTGTATTCTATGTAGAACTAGTGGCTCACATCTCTGCCTTATTTGCCTCTTACTACACCCTCTTTTGCTGAAACAGAGGCACTTGGGTGATCCTTTGGGTTCTCTGTAATTGAGTGGAAATTTTCTGTGCTTCAGAAACTAACTGGTTTCACATCATGGTTTGTATGTCTTATCATTCAGCCAAGTGAATGCAGTCTGTAGCTCCAGTGTAGCGTCTGTCTGTCTCTCGGCATTCCAAAGCTGTGAGATGTTGCTCTTGAAACCAAAGTAAACCCCTGTGCTGGCACTGTCCCTGGCCAGCGACTACAGAGAACAGACTCTGTGAGTCTTGCTGAGCGGCGTGCTAGCGTGCAGGGCCTGGCCATGGAGAACCTCGGAGCTCACCAGTTTCTGCTCTTGGGTGGAGCCCGAGACGGTTGTAGCTGGTGGAGTCCCTGTTCCCGCAACCCTGTGAGCAGCAGGGTCCCCAAAAGCCTTGGTGTGCCCCTTTGAATGACTTGGCCACCGCCAGGGGCAGGGAACCAGACGGCTCCTCCTGCCGCTCAGAGCCCACCACCCAGCTCGGCATGAAAATGACGTTGAAGTACTGACAGCATCAGCAGTTAGCATTTCCTGTTTGCTTGTGCCTAGCGCTGGGCTGGCTGCGCACACGGCACCCCCTGCCGTGGGGTTGAACTCACCCTGCACAGCTTCAGGCCTCGCGATAGCCACACCTGCTGGCATGAGGGCGCCAGGCCTGGGGCCACCGAGGCACGCTGCTGTTTCCAGCAGCTGTGGATTCGTCTCGATCTGCACAAGAATCGCTTGTGTCTATGCAGAAGGGGTAGAGAAGCAGCCAGGAGCAGGAGACTCACACAGCGGCAGGCTCGTGTCTTCGTGCTTGGTGAGCAGTAGAAGACAGCATGTTTTAGCTGGCACTGCGGCTCAATAGGCTAATCCTCCATCTTGCGGCGCCGGCACACCGGGTTCTAGTCCCAGTCAGGGCGCCAGATTCTGTCCCGGTTGCCCCTCTTCCAAGGCAAGCTTCTCTTGCTGTGGCCCAAGGAAGGCAGTGGAAGGATGGCCCAAGGTGCTTTGGGCCCTGCCACCCCCATGGGAGGACTAGGAGGAAGCATCCTGGGCTTCCTGGCCTATGGGATCAGCACGGGTGCCGCCCGGCCTGCAGCGCGCCCAGCCCGTGGGCGGCCATTTGGGAGGGTGAACCCAAACGGGCAAAAGGGAAGACCTTTTCTCTCTGTCTCTCTCTCTCTCCACTATCCCACTCTGCCTGGTCGAAAAAAAAAAAAAAATAATAAAACAATCAGCATGTTTGCCTGGTGGTGCTGGTTCCTGGGATCTCTTTGATAAAAGATAACTGGCCAATGTCACCGCCAGTCTGGGTATAACACAGAAGTGTGGGCTTTTCTGTAGCTTGGCTTGGGTCAATGATACGCATCACTAAGACCCACTCTCGGGCTTCAGGGGTCCACACCATGGCATCCCTGAGATGTACACAAGCACATGTGTGCATGATCATGTGTGCACACACACATGCTTTCACAAGGGTGTCAGTCCAGCCCAACTTCCAAGCAGCTTCCAAAGCCTTAGGCCTAGAAACAGCATTTGACTTATGACATTATGACTTATGACTGCTAGGTCTCACCAGGAAGTGACAGAGATGAGAAGCCCTCTCAGCTCCTGAAACCATGGGTTTCTCACCTGCTGTAAAACACAACATGTTTTTTGTTTTGTTTTGTTTGACAGGCAGAATTAGACAGTGAGAGAGAGAGACAGAGAGAAAAGTCTTCCTTCCGTTGGTTCACCCCCCAAATGGCCACTATGGTGGGCGCTGCGCTGATCCAAAGCCAGGAGCCAGGCGCTTCCTCCTGGTCTCCCATGCGGGTGCAGGGCCCAAGCACTTGGGCCATCCTCCACTGCACTCCCGGGCCACAGCAGAGAGCTAGACTGGAAGAGGAGCAACCGGGACAGAATCCAGCGCCCCAACCAGGACTAGAACCCGGGGTTCTCTGCCATAGGCAGAGGATTAGCCTAGTGAGCCGTGGCACCGGCCAAAACACAACATTTGTAAAAGCAGGCTGCGTGGTGACATGTCACGGATGGACTGTCTCGTGGTTCTGGAAGCTGCAGGGCTAAGTTCAAGGTGTCTGAAGGCTTGCTTACTCCTGCAGCCTCCATCCTCGGTTTCTGCACATTGCCCTCTCCGGGTGTCCTCCTGGAGTGGTCCCTCTGCCCAGTGGTCCCTGTGTCCCAGTCTCTTACAGACTCACCCATCATGGAGCATTAGGGCCCCCCACCCCCACCATGACCTCATTTAAACTTGTCCCTTCCTGGAGGCCCTTTCTCCAAGTAAGGCCACACTCTGGGGTGCTGAGGT